TATTATACAAAAACAGTAAAAAAAATATTGTTTCCTTTTAAGTTTTCAGTTCATGTGCAAATCACAAAACAGCTTATTTTCAATGTGCCACCCTATTAAAGAGGGAAAAAAATTAAAGAGAAAAAATTGCATCCCAATTAAAATAATCAGCCTTCGTGAGGCAGACATAATCAGAACTTAGAGGTGACAATCTGGCACACAGGAAAGGTCTCTCAAGTTTATATAGATGCCCTTGCTTCTAAACCAAGAGGGAAAAGAATTCCAGACTAGGATATTTTCCTTCACTTTAAGAAAATAATTCTTCTCCTCTCACAGAGACTACCTTTGTAAATTGTGTGCTACACTGTTTATGCTAAACTTCAAAGTTTACAGTTACTGTAGCTTCCCTGACTTTGTAAGTAGCATGCTACCAGTTTATTATAACTAACATGCCTTCAGTGTTTTGTCAATCAATTAAGTCTCCCTGTAAGATTATTTTTAAAAAAGATACTGTTTTTTAATTCAGATGTACCTACAAAAATTGCATTAGGTAGCTTTTTAAAAAATAGATAAATAACTACAAGAAATGCAGATGGCTGTTGTCTTCTCAGAAGATGCGTTCTTCCCTTTCCACTTACTAGGGAAAGGAACATTAGTAATCATCATTAAACATTCTCAAAAGACAGCTTGTGCCCCCTACTCACTTCTACAGGTAGAACTGATCAGCCAATCAGATGGTGCTAGGGTTCCCTTAACAGAGAGGGACTAACACTGGCTGAGTCGTCATCTCCAGCTGCCAGAAATAATTTTTTTAATTTTTTTAAAAATACAGTGAGTCGAGCAGAGATGTCCAGTGCTCCGCCGTGCCCAGTAACTTTCTATTCTTTTCAGCCTGTGACGTCAGACACTGTCGACAAGGTGCTTGATCGCTGCCAGGCCACCACCTCCTCCCTTGACCCTTGCCCGGCCTGGCTAATCAAAGCAGCCAGGCCGATAACAACAGAATGGGCCACAGCAATAATAAATGGGTCTTTTCTTGAGGGAAGATTTCCATCTGCCCTCAAGGAGACACTCATTAGGCCCATAAGAAGGAAACTTAATATGGCGGCGGACGAAATTGGCAATTATAGGTCCATAGCCAATGTTTCATGAGCAAAGTGGTTGAGAGGGTGGTGGCTGATCAGCTTCAGGCCCACTTGGATGAAACAGATGCCCTGGATCCGTTTCAGTCGGGCTTCAGGCCATGCCACGGTACAAGATGGCATTGGTCGCCCTGTATGATGACCTGTTGAGGGAGGCTGACA